AAAGCAGTGGGATTTCGCAAGGAGGATGTTCTGGGCATGTCTTGCTTTGTTTTGTTTTGTTTTTCATTAGTCGGGGAGAAATCAGCTCGAAGGGAGATGAAGAAGGAGCTCTGAGCAATGAGAAGAGAGAGCCCTTCCTAGACTGCGGGGAATGAAAATGCATCAACACCCAAAGATGGATGCAGAATGAACATTGAGATGTGCGAGGAAGAGGAGAATGCGGGATTAATCACGGAGGGCTCTTCCGAACCGGGCACGGCGCTAACTTTTGCTCGAACAACAGCTCCAAAGAAATGCATACTTACGCCACCGCCAGTTTCTCACTGTCAGCGCCAGCCATTTGGCCAAATCTCTTTGTTGAACAATTATTTTTCTCTTTTTATTGAACTAATTGACTATCTCAGAAGAATCCATTTTATATATCTCCCCTCCCCCCGCTCTGAATATATTATGAAGTAGCGTCGTCTGGGTAGAATGGCTGAGAAGACATTACGGGTGTCTGAAATATGGCCAGAAGAATTGGCCTCTTGTGAATTTAATTACAAGACTGTCTTCAGTTTCCCATGTGTCACTGCCCAGCCAGCTGGCGATGTCTTTTTCTCAGACAGTAGAAGGAGCTTGTTTCTTTGGGTGAGAAGAAAAGACTGGGTGAGCCAAAGCCCTTTCGGCTCTATCCTGCTCTCCTCGTTCAAGTTATTTTAAATTCACTGTGCTTTCTCTATCACTATGTGTGGTGTGGTGTGGTGGTGGTGGTGGTGGTGGTGTGTGTGTGTGTGTGTGTGAACCTGCACTGGAGCTACGACACCTATGTGGAGGTCAGAGGACAGTTTTTAAGAGTTGATTCTCTTTCCACTGTGGTTTCTGGGGACTGAAGTCATGCGGTCAGGTTTGCATGGCAAAGGCATAGTGCCTTTGCCTCTTAAGCCACCTTGGCACTTGCTTCCCTAGCTATGCCTGAGGAGGAGGGAAGTTACTCCAGAGACCAGCGATATTCAGGTGCAATGCTCCTGCCAAGGCTGCTTGGCTCCAGGAATAACGGAAAGCCCTGGGGCTTCTGGGTATTTTAGCCCCTATCATTTTCTTCTCTTCCTCTTGAGCAGCCCCCACTCCCCATGGGACAGTTCTGTGTGAAATCTAAGAACTCAAGCTTGGTTAGGACAGTGCCTCTTTTTCATGGACTTTCCATTTTAATAGAAAAAGCCCCAGGTTCAGTCATCATGTACGGCAGACTAACATGCCGGTTACCCAGGATAGGTGTATGGGAGACCAGCCATGAGCCTAGACTCCTGGATGCACCTACAGAAGACTAGAGAGCAGCCGACCAGTCACTCAGGATAGACTGATTGACAGCTGTGCTCTCATGGAGGAAGTCCATGGCTATGTTCTCCAGAAAGGTCTGAGGAAGTCCCAGTCCTGAATGTGGTGTGGGGCTCTGGCTGGGTGTGTAGGGGCTTTGGGATTGACTGAGGAGCTAGAAGGACCTGTGAGATATGAGCCATTCCGGTCCTCACCGTGGTGGTAGGGAACCCAGTGAAGGTCACTGACCCTCATTCCAGAGCCTCATGGCTGCGTTCACACTGAGCAGTATAGATACGTGGAGGGTTCTGCAGAGGATGGAAATGCCGAGCAGAGAGCTCAGCATGGGCTGCTGAGTTTAGGTCCCATTTGTGAACAGTGTCCCCTCTGGATAAACTATTGTCCTTTATGTTTAAATTTGATTAATTAAACAACTAATTAATTAGTGTTTTGTTCTTTTGAGAAGGGCTTACTCTGCATTCCAGATTGGCATGAAACTTATTACACAGCTCAAGTTGGCCTCGAACTCATGATCTTCCTGCCTCAATCCCTGAATGCTGGAATTACAGGCATGCGGCACTATGCCCGGCTTTATCCTTCCTATGTCAGAATATTTATTATGTAGTTTGATTTTTTACAGGATCCCATTTCCACTAGAAAATCAAACAAAAATCTGTAAACTATGATCTTGGCTTATCAAAATGTTTATTTATGTGTGGATATATGCACACATGTACAGGTACATAGAAGCCAGAGGAGAGAGAGCATTGGAATCTTTAGAACTGGAGTTACAGGTTGTGAGTCTCCATGTGGATGCTGGGAACAGGACTCTGGTCCTCTGGAAGAGCAGCCATTACTCTTAGCTACTGAGTCATCTCTGCAGATGCTCATTATTGATCTTATTTAGATCTTATAATTTTGAGCTATTGTGTTACAGTGTACTTATACGCACTGCTTTTGTATACAACTTAGTGGCATTGGGAGCATCCATGCTGCCATGCATCAGGCTCCTCTGCCATTAGAGCTTCCTCCCCTTTCCCTACGGCACCTCTGCCATCTGAGTATTTTGGGTCCCTCTTGTGAGTGAAACCGTTATCAGTATTGCTTATTTTATTTTTGCTTTTGTGTGTGTGCATGTCTGTATGAGTATATGTATGCATATGTGAAGGCAGTACCCACCCAAGCCAGAAGAGGGCATCAGATCAGAAGCTGGAGTTACAGATGGTTGGGAGCCACCAACTGTGGGTGCTGGCAATTGAACTCCCTTTCTCTTCAAGAGCAGCTAGCATTCTCAACTGTTGGGCTGCCTCTCCAGTCTCCAAATCATTTTTTAAAAAAGCAATAGTGGCATTTGACTAAGTCATTCTAAACACACTTGAGATTTTTAGCTTCCTGTTCCCACTGGCTAACTGAGCTGACAACATACTAGGGACCCAGACCATGCCATAGTCTGGCCGTAGCTGCCGTAGCTGGCCAGCATGCAGGGTGGGGACTGGCACCAATGCCAAGCCTAGTGGTCATCGTGGGTAATGAACAGACTCCTTTACTAGTACCGTCCATCAGGTGGCACTCTTTGGCAGCTATGAATAGCTTTCAAGTCTGTACATGTTCCCTAGAAATAACAGCAGGACGTGAGTTCTGTGCAAGGCCAGTATTTGCTGAGAGAGCCTAGGGAGACGGAAACTGAGTCTGGTTTCCTTGGGATTCTGGGTCATGTGTCAGCTATGCTCAGAGTCATCCGTTACTTTCTATATCAGCCCATTTATTATGTGATTTTTATAGGATCTCATTTCAACTATGAGATCAAATGAAAATACCTGCTCCATGATTTGGGGAAGCTAATCCCCAAAGGAGAGGCCTTATCTTCTGCCAGGAGAGGGATGGGGGTGGTGTGCTGTACTGAGAGACAGGCACAGGTTCCCTCCCTTCCTCCCCCCTTCCTTCCCGTACTTCCTCCATTCCTCTTCTTCCTCTCCTTCCTTTTGAGAAGGGTCTTCCTTGGCACAAGCTGGCTTTGAACTCACTTTAAAGCCAAGCCTGGCCTTGGCCTACAGATCCTACTGCCTCTGTCCCCCAGGTGCTGGGATTGCAGAAGTGTGTAACTGTGCCCAGTAAGTCTCTCTTTCTTTTTGGTAGTAAGGATGGAACCCAAGGCGCACCCTTTGTGGCTAGACAAATCTTCATCACTGATAAACACCCCCAGATCTTAAAAGACCTCATGCATTTTGCTTTATTCATTATGTTAGCAAAACAGGATTTTTCTCACTCCCCAAACACCAGGTCTTTTTTTTTTTTTTAATTTTGGTAGGTTCCATTATTCTGAGCATGTCTAAGCTTTATGCCTCGTAGATGAGGCACACAGCTGAAAACATAGCATGAACCTAATTTAAAAAGGTATGTATGGCCGAAGAAAGATCAGAAGGGAATATATTAAAATCCAAGTGGCAATTATCTCCTCAGGTAATGAACATTAAAATAGTACCTTCCTCTGCTTCTAATTTTCTTTACAATAACTGTGAGGGTTATAACAACCAGAAAGGAAACGCCAGATTCCAAAGTTACGCAGGAATTAAAGATAGTTTTTCCAGTTCTGCACGGCTCCCTTTTCTCTCAGCCTTCACTTATTTTTACAACAAATTGATTTTCTAGTAAATTTATAGTCATGTAACCAGCACCCCTTCTGATCCTAGAGATTTCCATTCTCAAGAAGAGACTCTTGGCACTAACTCTCTACTAAACTGCTGGCCCTGGACAATTGCTAACCTACTTTCTACTGGTATGGACTGTTCTAGACATTTCATATAAACAGAATATGTAGAAATTTATTTTGTGCATATGTTTTTTTAAATCTCCGTGTCTGTGAACCACTGCATGCAGTGTCTGTGGAGACCAGAAGGGGGCGTCAGATCCACTGAACTAGAGTTTGAGGGTTGTGAGCTGCCGTGTGGGTGCTGAGAATTTAAAACAGGTCCTCTTGACTACTAACCATCTGTCCACCCCCAGTATGTGACCTTTTCAAGTCTTCTTTTGCTTAATGTGTTTTTGAGACTTATCTATGTTGCAGCCTATCCCAGCCCTTTGCTCTTCCATGATGGCTAAATCATCCCTCAGTATATGGATAGCTCATGTGTTGTCCATGTGTTCATTGCTAATGGGCTTTTTCAATTTTTGCCCGTTACAAACAAGCCTGCTGTCAACATCTGCATCCAGGGGACCAAATTTGTACATGGGGGCAGTATCCTAAGTTCATGAGCCCCCACATGCAGCTCCCTTAGATGAACAGGGTCCCTGGGGTAGTTGGGTGGGCTGGTTTCATCAACATAGAACAAAACCATGTGTAGAGTGCACACCTGCAATCCCAGCACTTAGGAGGTGGAGACAGTAGGATCAGAGGTTCAAGGTTATCCTCAGCTACAGAGCAAATTCAAGGCCAGACTGGGCATGCACTGGGCATGCACGCACACACACATACACACACTCACAAGTGTATATATCTCTCGTGTATACTTCAGAATGTCAGGATCACAGAACCCAGAAGCTAGTAGCTCCAAGAAGTGCCAGGAAGCCGTAAGTTGTCCTAGTCACTGGTCCTTGGTTACTGGTCACATGTCCTTTATGTTTGTACTACAAGCACTCTAGCAACCAAGCCATCTCCCCAGTCTCTGATTTCCATCTGGTTATGACAACCCAGCAGGCCAGCAGCATTTGGCTTCATGATGCAGATGGAAAAAACAGGCAGAGAGACCTTCAGTCTCAAGGATGCAGTCACACTAAGGTGAGGGGTTGGCACATCCCGAGGAGCTGGAGGGGAGAGCTAGCTCCACACAGCAGCTCCAGCCACTCCTTCTCTATCTTCCCACCCCCGATCTCAAGAGTCGTTTGACTGTGTCATTTTCTCAGTGGCAAAATTCTGGCGGTTCCAACTTGATTGATATTTCACTGTACGTGACGGCAGGAGAGCCGATGGCCACGTCTGATGTTTACTCTTCTCCTCTGCTTTCTACAACGGCCGCAATGAGGGGTGTTAAGCTACTAGCTTCTTCCAAGCAGAATCAATCTGAATAATCTTCCCCGCCCCCACACTGTCTTAGGCTGATCTAAAATGACAGGGCAGCAGACTAAGGCCTGTTAGGTCTCCTCTGATCTGCGATTCGGGCTCTTGTTGATAGTTCAGAGACCATGTCACCCTAGGGCTGGCCAGTAGCCTTTCCTTTAGTCCACCTAAACACATTGTATATATTTCACTCAGGAACCAGTGTCCTCTTCAGGGCATCCGTCACACGGGGACTGTGGTGAAGGACAGACTGGGATGGGGTATATCAAGAGTCTATGAAAAACCATTATTTTGGTCAATTATTACACTTTAATTTTACAGTTGTTAGACACCCCATCTTGGTTTGTCTTCTCAGTAACTGTCTTCGTTAGGGTTACTATTGCTGTGATAGAAACCATGAGCAAAAGCAAGTTGGGGAGGAAAGGGTTTATTTCACATACTGTCCCATATAACAGTTCATTCATCATCAATAGTAGTGAGGGCAGGAACTCAAGCAGGGCAGGACCCTAGAGGCTGGAGCTGATGCAGAGGCCATGAAGGGGTGCTTGCTCAGCCTGCTTTCTTACAGAACCACAAGCCCAGGGGTAGCATCCCCACAATGGGCTGGACCCTCCTCCACCATTCACTAATTAGGAAAGTGCCCTATAGTTAAATCTTAAGGAGGCTCCTCCCAATTGAGGTCCCCTCCTCTCAGATGACTCTAGCTTGTGTCAAGTTGAGATAAAACTAGCCAGCATAGCAAGCCCCACCCCATTCTTTTATATATGGGCTCAAACTTACTTTATACAAGTTGCTGAGTCATAATCATGATTTAGTATGCCCCCAGATGGAAGCAGATGGAAAATGGGACATTTTTGGTGACTAAAGACTCCAGAGGTGATGAGGACTTCCTAAGTGGGCTATTCTCTTTTCACGTTCTCTCTCTGCATAGTCTGTTGGAGCACAGCGCCTGTCCCTGGGGCCAGGAAGATGGATCTGTTGAAGTGTTGGCCACATAAGCATGAGGACCTGAGTTCATGTCCCCTGGACCTATGTGAAAAGCCAGGCATGGCGGTGTGCATACCTATACCCTCAACTCTGGGAGGGTGGACAGGATGGTCCCTTGGCTCATTGTGACTGATCTGACCAGTCAGTGACCCATCCCCTCCCCCAGAGCACTGCATTTGATTCAGTCCTGAATGCTCCCTCTCCAGGTCAGTGTCTTCCTTTGCAATTGTTATTCATCACTTCCTAAGACAGGGCAGCGACTCCGAGCTTGTCAAAGTCTCTCCCTAGTGTCTCTGTACTCTGAAGGCACCATCTGAACTTTTTTAGAAAGTCTGGGTCATAAAAACTAAGCAACAATGTTCATCTCTGAAGACAAAATCCTTGCCAATATGAAAGGTCTGGCTTAGCAAAATAAAGGCATTTCAGTTACATAGTAATGATATACTTAGGTAATTTATAGCTCATTAAAATGGGTAACAGGGCCTGGAAAGGTGGCCCAGTGGGTTACTAGTGCTCGCTGCTCTTCTGGAGGACCTGAATTCAGTTCCCAACACCTGTGCCAGGAAGCTCACAACTGTCTGTGGCTGTGGCCATGGCTCCTGGGAATCTGGTGCCCTCTGCTTGTTACCACAGGCACCTGCACTCATGTGCATATACCTCCCTTCCCCACATAGACACATAATTAAAAATAAATCTTAAAATGCATAATAGTTAAGGAAAAAGCATCCTTTTCTCTTCAAACCATCTGTAACCCCAACATTATCCACATCATAAAGAAGCAAGACTCCAGACATAATCTGTATGAACTCCGAATCCCTAAGCTTGCAGGCCCAAAGGTCAGTTTTCTAACCCTGGTCAGTGTTTTTATATAACTCCATCCAGACTCCACAGTTCTAGCCATTAAGAGGTACCTAAGAGAGAACACTTAGTTCTGCCATAGTCATTCTGATGTGGAGAAGCAGAGCTACGAGGTGTGTGTTGAACGGCAAAGGGCATCCTCTCTGTTCTCTCTGCAGAAATTCCTCTATCCTTTTCTGCAGAGCAGGACCATCAGAAGACAAAAACGTCTTGAGTGGGGCTGACAGGTGCCACCAGATCTGTTTGGTCTGTGTGCTTTCCAGGAATCTGAACTCGGGTCTTCCCAGTTGTACTCCAGTGAACCTTTTGACTGCCTTGCCTTGGGATAGCCTCCACATCCCTACACGGGTGCTTTGTAGAAACATTACCCCCATGTAATGTCCAACCACAGTGTAGCCAAGTCCAGTTTAGTGAGAGTTTGTTCAGAGTGGTTGTATCAATTCACGCTTGGGAGCTGTTGGAGCTCTGCTTGCTCTACCATCTGGCTAATACTTGTTGTTTTCTATTATCTCACTTCAGCTACTTTGTGTCTATGCTGTGTGTGTTTGTATCACAGTTCCCTGTATGTCCTGTCTTCAATTGTGCTGTAATGTATACTTGTAGCATCTTTCTTGTGTAACCTTGGCTAACTGAATGGCAGATGTTGCAGGCAAGCAGCCCTGCTTTACCATCTCTGTTGAAACACCGTAGGGCCGCTTTACGTTATGATCACCTGTGTGGACCACTTTTCTGCTTGCTTAATGGTATCACATAATGAAGCAGAGTTAATTTTTATGCACATGATCTCTATTTTCTTTTTTACCTTTATGTAGCATTTATGTGTGTGTGCGCATACGCATGGGCATGCATACACGTGTGTGCAAGCTACAGTTTTTTTTTTTTTTTTTTGAGACAGGGTTTCCTTGTGTAACAGTCCCAGCTGTCCTGGAACTAGCTCTTGTAGACCAGGATGACCTCGAACTCACAGGGATTCACCTGCCTCTGCCTCCCGAGTGCTGGGATTAAAGGCGTGTGCCACCACTGCCTGGCCTGCTTCTCTCCTACCACTTGGGTCCTGGCACGGAACTCAGGTCCAGCTTCGTGGCAGACACCTCTGCCCAGTGCCCATTTCCCCATCTCTGATCTATCTACTCTTGCAGTTAATATTTCCCACCTTTTTTTTTCTCACACTAAGGACATGGATATTCTCATAAATTTTTATCAAAGATGGATTATTTCACTTTCATATTTAGACTTGATTCTTGTCTGTGGTTTAAGAAAGTGAGGGGATGTGTTAATCTAACCCAGCGCTTTTTACTGAAGAGATCCTTCTTTCTCCCATCTTGACTACCTTTAGTGCCCATGTTGTAATCAGGGACAGGGTATGTGCGGCTGAAATGATTGGAGTCTGGAATGTCCCCTGTGGCCCCTGTGTTTGAACATCTGATCTGTGTTGTGTCTTTGGAGGTAGTGCAAACTTTGGGACATGGGTGTTAGTGGGTTGAAATAGAACATTAAAGCTGTTGAAGGCCCTACCACTTCTGGCGGGGGCCCGCACTCCCGAATTCCTGAGTTGCGCCATGGCTGCGCCGTGTAAAGAGGCTGTTGTGACGTGGTTCTGCCACTATGGGGAAGCCCACCATGCCTTCTCCACCATTCTGGGCTGTGCCCTCTGAACCTCTGAGCCCTCCCTTCCATTGCCCCTGCCAGGTGATCTGATCGAAGAAATGCAGAAGTAATACAATGTTTTCTGTTTTATTTTTGTTGTTTTTCTGAATGCTATTCCATCAGTTTATTGCTTTGTGCGAATATCACACAGTTTCAATCTTTACCATTTCCCAATAGGTCTGGAGACATATAACACACGCCTTTCAATTTATCCTTGGGATTGCCTTTGACTTTTAGCTCCCGGTGTTGCCGTACACCTTCTGTAGACAGAACATATTTCCAATCCCAAGAACTAGAATTTTGTCAGCATTGTGTCTCAGTCCTCAGGACACTTTGACGTTTCAATAGCCCCAAATCATCCAGTCCATAAACATGGTATACCTTCCCACTTATGTAGGCATGAAGAGTTAGGCCTCCGAATCCCAGATGAATGCATCTCCCAGCAAGTCACTGCTTAGCTGATGGGGATGCCGGATGGCAGCAAGCAGACCATAGTCACCACAGCTACACGGTGTTCTCAGAGACCAGCACAACCCTTGCTAAGAGAATAAACGTTGAACTGTCCGGTGTCTGGTTTCCTTGTTACGTGAGCCTCTGGGCACCTTAGCAGTTTCAGCACTAGGTGGCGCTCTGCAACCAGTTTTGCACCAATCTCTCAGATCAGGTGGGGGAGGGGGGACATTGACAATTTCAGAGGGAGAGAGAAGGGAGACCAGTAGCTGTCCATGGCTCAGTAAGTCACCCCCAGTAAACTCATCTAAACCATCATGGTGGACTTGATGTACCATTCTTTGGGCCATGGATGTTCATTTTACAGCTTCCTCCCAGAGTCACACCACAGTTGGCCTCACAAAAACCTCTTAGGTTATTTGGAGTATCACTGTAGAGAAGCTGGATGATATTCTTTACATTTAAATATTGTCGATTGGATTTCTGTTACCATCGAAGCTCTTAAAATTTCCATTTCCACCAGGCATGGTGTGGCACACGCCTTTAACGCCAGCACTCCAGAGGCAGAGGCAGGCGAATATATATAGCGAGTTCAAGGGCAATCAGGGCTGCGTGGTGACACCCTGTCTCAAAAAAGAAAATCTCACTTTCCAACACTTTTCCTACCGATCTTTTCTCTGATAAGTTTGTTAAATTCACGGACAGTCTCCATGAATAAAAGTTTTTTTTTTTTTTTAAATTCTCACTCAAGCCTGGTGTCTGTTTTCCCCTGTGTTGCTCTGAAGATGACTGATCTCAAGGAAAAACTGTTAGTATTTCACCATTGAGCAAGATGTTGGCTAAAGCTGTAGCAATTCCTGTGAACTCTAATCAGATTAAGGGTATTTCCTAGTTTGTATATATGTGTGTATAATATGTATCTTGTTTATATGTTGTATATGTATATATTTAAATCATGACTCAATATATAAACCTTTTTTTTCCCTCATCTCTCCATACCACCCCCCTGCACCTGAGTGTAATACCCGCAGAAGCCAGAAGAGGGCGCTAGATTCCCCCTAGAGCTGGAATTAACAGGTGTTTGTGAGTTGCCTTACCTGGGTGCTGTTAGCGGAAACTGAGTTCCTCTGTAAGGGCAGCAAGAGCTTTGAACTGCTGAGCCATCTTTCCAGTCCTGAATATGTAACCATCTCAGATCCACAATTAGGATGATTTTATAATTTCTCTTGGGCTCATTAATGTTTTAAGGATTTTAAACTTTATGCTTGTGAGATTGGTTTGCAATTTTAATTTTTTTTGCAAGATTTTGCCATGTTTTAGAGAAACTATGCTCTCATAAAAACAGTTGCTAGGAGTCCCTTCTCTGTCTTTTCTGGAAGTGTCTGTGAGGTTGGTCCTCTTCTGTCTCAAATGTTTGGAAACACACAGCAACCATCTGGGCCCAAGGTTTGCTTAGTTGGAAGGATTTCAACAAGGATATTTTTCCCCTCATAAATATTGGGCTATTTCAGATTATTTGATTTGTCCCCAGGTTACTTAACGCTGTAGATTACTTATTTGTCTGTCTATTTGTGTCTGTTTATGTGCGGACGCTGCGCTCCCCGGCTAGCCTGTCTTCTTGTCACGACAGATTAGATCCCTTGAGCCCAAATAAACCTCTCTCCCCGTCTGTTGTTCCTGTGAGGTATTTCATCCCAGAAATGAGAACTTTAACACTGTTTTTATTTTCGTCTGTGGGGGAGGAAAAGTAGAGTTCTGTGAATGTTAAGGCCGGGCTTCGCCGAGGAGCTGTGGTTTTATTCTTTGAACATTTTCCCGTGTATTTAATCTTCTTCAGCTTGGCTATGACGCCCTGGAATATGCTCCCCTCATGTTCATCCTCTCTGTGGTTCTCTGAACTTCTCAATGTCTCCCATCAGCTTGGGGAAGTGTTTGATCATGTGTTCAGCCATTGCCTTGTCCAACACTGTGTCCTGTCCCGAGTCTCCAGTTGCGTGCACACCCTGTGACCGTTCGGATGTGAAGTGTCCCCGAAAGGCTCATGTGTTTGAACACCGGGCTCCCAGCTTGTGGTGGTGTTTGGGGAGGTGGTTGAACCCCTCAAAGGCGGG